AATATATTTATATATTGTTGTCCCCGTCCCCACCAATTTCAAAATCAAACCTACGCCGCTGCCTCACACTGTTCACTCGTGGTAATAAACAGACACTCTGAAAGGTGGAAACCAATTTGGAAGTGTGATGCTGCATGAGACATCGCTTCTAACTGGCAGCCTTTTTCTCCAACACAGTTCTGTCAGACACTTTGTCATAGCCCAAGGAAAAAAAAAGGACGCTGAAAGGAATCAGTCTGGCTGGCATATTGCTGCATCTCTTCATTACCTCGGACTGTGAATTGTCCAGTTGTTCTAACATATGGCTTTCTAATTTACTCAATAACTTAAGACCACAATTCACCACTTAACTACTATAATATTTCATACAGGAATTGCTCAATTTTGTTGATGAAATTTCCAGCCGCAGATGAAAAATCACTTTCTCTCTGGAATTTGACCTTGCTAGTCTGAATACGTGGCATCAGAATGAGTGTTGTGAGTCGGATGGGGCAAGATGGGCCAGTTGTGCTGTCATTATTTGGCACAACCGTAGCTCATTAATATTAATTAGCTCACTTTTCTTGTCGTTAGGTAATCTTGAACCATCCAGCAGCCGCATTACGTAATTGATAATTATGAGCCAAAACTTTGTACAATTCAACTATGTACTAAATTGATGTTCTTTCCAGATGTGCTTGAGTTGTATGACCTTGTAGACGTTCTATAGAGATAGACGTTTAAAGCAAATGTTACATTTGCTTGGATATAACTTTTAATATTAATAAACTGATTGAAAAGATTAAATCTGTATAGTTAAAAGAGTTCATTTGGGATAGTTCATCCAAAAATTCTGTCATCATTTGAGAAGAGAGAAATATAATTTTCTCTCTTCTGTGGATATTTTGATACATGTTTGAACCTTTTTTGTCTATACAATGAAAGTCAAAGGGGTCCAAAACAGCATAATAGCCCACTGACTTTAATTGTGTAGAGAAAAAACAAAGACATTTTTTCTAAATATCTACTTTTGTGTTCCACAGAATAAAGAATGTCATACAGGTTTGGAATGAAATGAGAATGAGGAAATGTAGACAGAATTTCATTTTTGAGTAAAGCCTTTGAATTCTGAGATTTCGAAACTGAAAGGCAACAATTTAACATCAAGATGCAATTATATATAAATATAAAAATATATTATAAATATAAAACGGTTAGTTCCAGTCCTTGATTCTGATTGGTCAATAGCTGTAGTGTGTTTTATTCACGATAAAACACGGCTATGACCATAGATATCCATAATAAAGGCTAGATGTCTTAAGGCTGATTTATACTTCTGCGTCGGACCTACGCCGGAGCCTCTACACTGTAGACTACGCGTTGGTTTTCATTTATACTTCTGCGTCGTTGTCCGCTTTGATGCATGCAGAGGGAACATGTGAAACCAGAGGGAGCGGTTCTAGCAGACCAATCACAGCGCTTGGGTCCGCGTAGAATTAACGTGTTGTTACATTTTTGGAGAGGTGCACGTCAGGGTACACCGAAGGGTATGCGCGCAACACAGCCTACGACGTAGCTACGGCGGGAGGTCGACGCAGAAGTATAAATTGCGCTTTACGGCGGAGTCTCTATCGTCATCACCGGCGGCCATCTTGTCACAGGCAAGCTTTCTGGCGGGCTCTGTGGTACCTGATGTAAGATGAGTGATCAGCACGAACACAAATACTCTTATCTCGTTGAAATCTTGACGGATTTACAAACGGTTTGGTTTCTTACAAACGTTATTAACATGGCTATAATTCTGGATGATTATTTATTGATACACTTATTATTCATAAGTGTGCAGTGTCATAACTACAACTCTAATATTTATAACAAACCAAACCGTTTGAAAATCGGTTGAAAATTGAGCAAGTTATGGTTATTTAAAAAGTGCATGCACCATTAAAACACAATGTTACGAGTGAGCGAGCTGCCTGTGACAAAATGGCCGCCAGGTGTGGACATCGACCTCCATTGGCCAGCAGCGCGAACGAGACATCTAGCCTTTATTATGTATATCTATGGCTATGACCCCTTCCCCCAACGGTTCTGTGTATCACTACACCCTTATAGCAACCACTCTTAGCAACATAATCATATGTTGTTTGTTCTCATTGATATGGTTAATTGAAGCTTACTGTATTTTGTAGAGTAGCTATTGTGTGAGAGAGAGATTGAGTGAGCTAGTTTATTACCTGCATTTATACAGCATTTTCCTTCAGGTCAGTCCTACAGTATGTTCATAAAAATAAAATAAAAATCTGAATGTCCGCTGCAATATATCTTGTCCTTTAAACAGTTAAGGGGTTTTCCCATGCCTGGTCAAAGCATTGGTCAGTTGCGTCTTCTTCAGTGTTCACAATCCTTTCAATATAAAAGTCTTCGTTATTGACTGACTCACTCATAAAGACAGTCTTTGCCGCCATCAAATTATTGCTTACAATTTATACTCTTTTCAGTCTATTCAACAGTTATGCTTAGAGATTCAACACTGCATGCTTTCTTATTCCATAATTTATTTAAATGTGCACTCCGTCACTTTTTCCTCAATAAAAAAGTTTTACATATTTCTTAGTCCAGGGGCAAAAAGGCACTATTACCTGTTTTAGGTTCTGAAACTAGAAAGAGAAATGTTACCCTATCCTAATTAACTGATTATTAGCAGATGCTTCTCTCTCTGTCTATCACAGGGTACGTTTACACGACAACAATATGCTTAAAACGGAGAAGTTTTTCCTTTGAGTTTTCCACGTACAGACGACACTATTGTCAAAACGATCCCCATTCACACGGATCCGCGTAAGCGACTAAAAACGTTGTATTCTACTGCCAGGCCATTCGATGGCGATGAAACACTATAGATTATAATACGCATGTGCATGACGTCATCATTTTCACAGATTCAAAAGAAACCCGTTTTCAAAAAACGCGCACTTTGAAACCCGTTTTCAAAAGTTTGCGTTTTCAGGCACCCAAAATGCCTTTGTCGTGTAAATGAAGTCTTCCTTTTTTTCGTTGAAAAACGGTGTCATGTGAACAGCCCCTCAGTCTCTCACCCTCTCTCGATCACTCTTATATTCTTTTTCAGTCTCTCGCCTTCTCTTTTAGGCTACTCCTGTTTTCCTGATTGCTCTCAACTGCTAGGGAAATGATGAACGAGACATAATCTGTGGTCAATGTGAGGTGCCTGGACAGCCTTGCTTTACTCATCAGAATTCCTTTGTGCTGTACCTTATTGTGCTGTGTTCTTTAACTTCAGCCATGGAGAAGCTGTTAGTTAGAGGACGGGGGTGGGTGAATGGGGCCAAGTACAATTCTGATGACAGCATTCCACCTGTGTCACTAAGGAATATGAAACAATGGTAGTATAATTAATCATGGCCTTGTTTTTCAGCTCCCTCATGGAGAGAATCACTGAAAGCAACAATATTACAGAGACCTCTGTGTTGTCTTCAGATTGGCAGGTGGCATTTCTTATATGAGTATCTCTCAGTCTGGCGTATTCTTAGGTGTATACATACATACAATGAAAGTCGATGAGGTACAGTGTTGTTGGACTCGAGCGTTCTTCTGCTTGCATTCTGCAGAAGATAAAAAGTCAAACAGGTTTGGAATGATATGAGGGTGAGAAAATGATGACATATTTTTTATATTTGGATAAACTATTCCTGAATATCACATAACATGTAATTAATATTCATGAGCCAAAATAGTGACACCACAACCCGCCTTATTCTAACACTCATTCTGACGCCACATACATAATTTCATTAATTCCAATTCATTCAGAAAAGTGATTTTTCATCTGTGGATGTGGAAACATTAAGCAGTTCCATTAAGAAAGGAAACACTGTATTGTCATTTGGCCATGGTTTTGCAAGTCAGCAATATGATTTTTAACACGTGGTGCATTTTAATACAGTAAGACTGTAAACCGAAGGAAAAAATATGATGCAATTTGATTGCTGTGTTTCACTTACTGGTTTATTTAATAATATACACATTAATCAGTCTGTTTCACTTTGTAATTGCTGTTGAGAGATTAATATGGAGTAATATATTCATCTTTGACTTTATATGTCTGATATTCTGCATTTGATTCATGATCTTGGCTCTTTGCCAGACCCAGTGTATTAGGGGTAAGGAATGAAATGTGCCTTGATTTTCCAGACAGGCAAAATGACTCAAGTGTGACAGAGATTTGGCAAAGCAAAAATGTTTTGAGAATGGCAAAAAAAAAAAAAAAAAAAAAATCATTGACATTATATATTTCTATCTACATTACTTCACTGAGATTGAATTGCACCTGCTGATAGTCATTTATTTGCAAATGCTGTTTGCATTTAGCATCCAGTTTACTAAAGGTATGATTAGCATTTGTCAGCCGATTTTATTCTAATTGAAATAAATCATTTTACAGAGCCCCGCACGTAAAACAAACAAAAAAACAACAACAAAGAAATAGACTTATTTATTTGCGGCCATGTTTTACAAATTTGTTCCCTCATTTTACTCTTCGTCTTGGTTTTGCACTTTTAATATGCAAAGAAATATTAAAGAATATCAAAAATGGGAGATAAAAATAAAACCAAATAAATAAAATAGATAACAATTTGCATTTAAAAAAAAAAGTAAAAGTGGATCCAAAAACTGAGTCCATTATAAGCACACAAAAAAAAGAAATATACTCTATATGCACAGGGGGCAGCACAAACCCATAGTGGTTGGTTAAACAGGATTTTAGGCAGTTAGTGAATAAGAATGCTGAAATTGCGTACAAAAATAATTATTACATCTAGAAATGTTTGAGTTATATTAATATATAAATTGTTTCTATCTATCTATCTATCTATCTATCTATCTATCTATCTATCTATCTATCTATCTATCTATCTATCTATCTATCTATCTATCTATCTATCTATCTATCTATCTATCTATCTATCTATCTATCTATCTATCTATCTATCTTTTTGAAGGTACTTTGTGTGTGTAGCAGTGCTGATTTACTTCCTCCCTCTCCTGGTGATGGGCTGTGCTTACCTGGTGGTGGGTTTGACTCTGTGGGCCAGTGAGATCCCAGGAGATTCGTCTGACCGTTACCAAGAGCAGCTGAATGCCAAACGCAAGGTCTTCATCACATCATCCTCTTGTTCCTCCTTTTTCCATCATCCTTTAAGCCCATGATGACACTTGCTTACACACACAGTCCAGGTCAGACACTGAACGCAGAGTTAACAGAGCAGTTCACACGCAAGGAGATAAGGGTCAGACAGGGCCACATGAAATAATCACTATGAAACTCATAGGGAGAAGGTCCGTCTGCTTCTTTCATCTGTATTCTGTATGTGTGTGTGTGTGTGTACCGGTATGTATGTCTGCCCCATTCACCACACTTGAAGCATGTGAAGTGAAGATGTACCGTTTTCTCTCCACGATCTACTTTACATTCTATTGCTATTGTTTTGCCTTAACATTTTCCTCTTCTTCCTTACACAAAATATCTTAAATCTATTTTCTCAGCACATATTGCTGGTACATACAGTATGATGACACAATGTGACTACCTCGGAGCGCCTGAATGTCCCTGTTTTAGGTTTGAGCATCATAAACATCAAAGAGTCTGTGACAGTCCACTGGTGACTGCAGTGATTTGCTACTACATACTCTGGCTTCTGGCAGTGTGTGTCATGGTGGGTTTCATGCTGATTTCAGGCCCACTTCAAGCTGTAGATGGATCAGGAATCTCCAGTGTTGTAGAACAGGAGTAGGAATTTGACAAATCAAAAAAAATGCATTTGCTGAAAAATATGTTATTTGAAGGTGCACTCAGTAATTCTTTGTTTTTGGTGTTGTATTGGCCAGTATGGGTGACATTTTGGAAGTATGCCGAAACAACATGGATGCAGCATCACACAAAAGTGGTTACTGATGCCATTGTAGAAATGCATGTTTCCGGAGACATTTTAAGGTGATGAGACATCAACTTGTATACAAATTAATGCGAAAAAATGTAACGCTGTAGTCCTGCCTTACAGTTAAAAAAGCCAGTTGCCTATTAGTTCACTCGTGAATGTGCATTGACATTAGCCAAACCAGCCTGTATGTGTAGTTAGAGTTAAAGAAGCCAAATTTGTGTTTTAAATACCATTGTTGTCAGATTTTACTCCAGCTTTAAAAGGCGTAATTTAAATGAAGCAGTTTTGGAGATGCTAACCATCATGATGCAACTCACTGCATGTGAAATAAAACTTATATGATATGATATGACTGTATTCTTCTTATGCTAGTTTACCTCATTTTAAACATAGTTTTCAAAAGAAGTATTCATTTCTTATAATGTGCAATTGTTTTTAATGAAAAAAAATTACTGAGTGTACCTTTAAAGCTGTAGTGTGTGATTTTAGCACCACTAGTAACACCAAATGGAACTGCAAAAATTCTTAGGTTTTCCAAATACTTTCCTTCATCATCCTCAACAAGTAGTTACACCTAAACTCATGACATTATTTGACCCAATGTGTCTGTCAGGTTGCCACAAATGATTACACTTTTTTGGGGAAATCAACCTGCATATGCCTTATTGTCACTTCACATTACAGTAAGCTGGGGAAAACATGTTAAACAGAGAAAAATGACCATTAAAATATAATTTATGTTAATTTAAGCTGTTTTAGAAATTTGGCTAATACAAAATGCATATTTTTAGCTCTCTATTTATTACGTTTCATTTTCATTTTTAATGACATGTTTGCATGCTGCTTGCTGGTGGTGGCTTTGGGCCATTGGACCACCTGAAAGCTAATGTCGAGAAAATGATGTCTGACAGCATTCTGCCAGTTTCCGTACAATGTGGGCAGCATGCAAAACTCAGGAAATCAGCTTGAAGGACAGACACTGTATTTATAGGCATACAGTATAACCAATATTTAAATGTTCTCTTCTTGCCTAACCCTCAGGTGGTGAAGATGATGATTGTGGTGGTATGTACGTTCGCTGTTTGCTGGCTCCCCTATCATGTCTATTTCCTGATTTACCAGTTCTACCCGCACCTGTTTGAGCATCCCTTCATTCAGCAGGTCTATCTGACTATTATGTGGCTGGCAATGAGCTCCACTATGTACAATCCCATTATCTACTGCTGCCTCAATGACAGGTAATTTCACCTGGAGTGAAAACACAGTAATTGACGCACACACACAGTCGCATCTAGCTCTTTCCAGAGTCGCTGTAATATTTGCTATAATATCATTATTGTTCGAAATGATCCATCTTTGTACCGTAGAATACAGCCCAATGCTGTGATGTATTATTCTGTAATGTATCACGGTTTTACCGCCTCACTCAGATGCTGAAAATCCATTACAAAAGCCTTTGAAAGACAAAGTAATAATATCCTCTAGTCAATTTTCACTTTTAAACTCATCATTATCACATCTGTCTATTCTTCTCCTACATTTTTGCACGCATCCTCAGGTTCCGTGCCGGATTTAAGCAAGCATTCCGCTGCTGTCCATGCGTCCCCGAGGGATCCTACGAGGGCCTAGAGCTCAAGTCCACCCGGTACCTTCAAACCCAGACCAGTTTGTACAGGGCCAGTCGAATGGAGAGCACCGTGTCCTGCGTGACGCAGCCATGTGAAGATGGCCACAAGGTTACCTTTGGGAGCATCAGAGCGGCTGCTGGGAGGCCGGCAACTCACAGCCCTTCCAGGGAGTTCACCTCCAATGGCTCGTCCTCTCGCAGTATTTCCAAGACCGTGTCGGAGACCTCCAGCTTCTACTCCAGTAATAACCTACAGGAATAAGAGCACAGAAACACAAGAGTCAAGCAGGACGAATGTCGCCATCTTTTGCGGAGATGTAATCGTTTGATAAATCTTCTTAAATTCTCCCCCCCAGTGTAAATCTTGAGGATTACGTCGAGTGTGTGCAGAAGTGTTTTAGCTGGTTGAATACACACAGCAAGTGTTTTTCATTTCAAATGATCCATCATCTTTCATTCTTGTCACATTCTATTCATAAGGTTTGATTATGATTAGAGGAACATTTACATTGATTTTTCTGGGTAATGCTTTCTTACCAAAGTTGTGTAATTGACATATTGCATTGTGCTGACTTAAATGAGAGCTTGATTTAATGATCCTGCAATCACTGAAGACATTTGAAAGGTTTACATTAATGGATATGTGATGCAGTGGAATAATGAGTCATTATACTGTATATATTGAATATGGCCACTTATATTGGTCTCTATATAGAAACAGGAAAAAAAACATACACCTCTTAATCACCTAAGATGGCCCACCTTGCTCAAATGATTGAAGAGATCATTTGAGACCTCACATCATATTTTCACTGCAAGCACATTCTGCCTTCAAAAACTCTAACAACCTCAAAAACTCAAAAAACAAACAACCCCCCCCCCCCCCAAAAAAAAAAACAACAACCAAAGGGCAGATATTATATTACTGAAAATGTCACGATAGCTTCAGTTAGAGCAATGATCCAGCCTGTGAAATGAACATGAACCATGTCAGTTGTCAATATAAACACCTCCACAGGCAAATTAAATGACTTTTCAAGGTGTGCCTGGAAACACAAATGCATGGTGGTGAAAGCTCTGATTTTGTGCTGCTCTGAAGAATAGATCTGGGGGGAAATGTGCAGAGAATTTTTATTCTAGGTTTTTTTTCTGACTGTCTCTTTTTCTTTATTCTCTCACCCCGTTTGCTTACTTTAATATCTTTTTTCTTTTTTTGTGTTCTTTTCGTAATTGACCCTTCACTAAGCTCCGCCCCATGGTTACTGTTGCCACCTTGGATACTGTTGCTGTTGTAGAAAAGCAGAAAAAGGAATTGGAAAATTAATTGGAGATGAGCAGCGTGATTATCAGTGAAATATGCTCATAAAGTGATACAAATTATTCGATTTTATTTTCAAGTAGGCTAAAATTAATTTTGACATCACAAAGCATATGCATTTTTTTTTAAATTACGTAGTGATAAACTGCAGAGACTGCAAGTGAGAATCTAGGCAAAAGCTTCTCAGTCAGCTGAAAGCAAAAAGCCTAATTTATAACGAATAAATGAAAACATTAATAATATAAAAGAACTGTAATGTTAAAGACGCATTCTTTAATTTAAGATTAAACAATGGACTGCACTTCCCAAAAGCATCATAAACCTATGTAGATAGTAAAAAAAACCCACTCTACAATCTATTTTACTCACGATGCTTTTGGGAAACGCAGCCCGATGATACGATGGACATTTTACTATCCCATGAGGCCACGGAAGAGGATTGCACACTTCAGAATCTCGCCGTAAATACTATGTCATCCAGGTACTTTTTGCACACTCTTTTATGATTAGCCTATGAATTCGGACACTTTTGTCACATACTGTTTTTCACCTGCTGCGGAATATCTGAGATGGAGAAAAGAGATGTGAAATCTCTCAGTCAGACCAGGAGTTCGAGAAATGAGCTAGGGATCACTGACCTGCGCCTACAAGTTTTGTTGTGATTTTGAGTTGTCCCTTTTCGAGTTGCACCGCTATGCGTTGCATTGGCTTGTTCTGTGTATTTGACAAATCAGCTGTGATCCAAATACTGCGCGAGCGTCAGTACGGGAAGCTGAAAGTGTCTGATTTCACGTCTCCATTTTCAGTTCCTCGGCCAATCGGTTACATCCAGCAAAACTGAAAAGGGTCGAACCTACCAGGTCGAACGCACCTTTTATGTCAAACACATGACAGGAAACAGGACTGCTTGTCGGAGAAAATGTTACAGCAGTAGGCTACGAACTGACGGCGATAACTATAAAGTTTTAAGGTAATCAGCTAACCTAGCTAATTATTTTTATTGTTAAAGTATTATTAAGTTTTAATATCCAGATGTTATTTTAGAAAATTTAAAAAAAATCTTCTAGATATCAATCTGCATATGTGACGGACATCGTTTATGCTCATGTTTGGTTGCTTCTTTTAAGGCATCTTGAGTAAAACAGCTCTATATTTAATGAAGCCCATACAAAAGACCTGAGCCGGAAATGATGCAACCTGTTCTCTTACGAGAGGTTCTCTTGTATTGCGTAAGCTAGCTTACGCTACGGGAAAGATTCATCTTTTCTGAGAAATTGAAGCCAAAAAATGATGAGCATGGGCGGGCTAGCTCATTGGTTCGCTCACAGAGAACTGCTTAAGCCTATGAGGAGACGCGAATGAACTCTCGGCCAATGAGAGTCTGACATGCTCTCATTGCGCCAGAGTCCGCCGAAACGGGCGTGGTCAGAGAGTATAAATTCGCCTCCCAGGCTGTAAACTCCGATTTTTCATCTCTTCAGCGAGGCTACACGCATCTGCTGATCCTGAGAGAAGCCGCCGTGGTTGAAAAGGCAACTCTAGCAAGCATCTGGGAGACTGAGGAAGCCGGCCGTCTTCGCCACCTTCAGCCGTCCTACGAGCTAGCGCCATCCGACGGATTTGTATCCTTTTTATGAAAAAGCTTCCTGTATTATTGTATTGTATCTAAAAGAACCGAGCGTCTTTGTAAAGATGTCTCGTAAATCCTCCTGCGGTTCTTGCCGCGCTCCCCTCGAGACTGGAGACCGCCACATCATCTGCGCTCTCTGCCTCGGATTGGAGCACGCCGAGCTCGCCCTCGCCGATGGCGGCTGCGATCTCTGCGAGGAGATGCCGTTGTCGACCCTGCGGGCTCGACTTCATGCCACTACAGTTGCTTCCGCGCCGCCTCTGACTTCGCCGCGGAAGAAGAAACGCCGCTCTCAGAGGCCGCCGGAACCCCAGCTGGAAGCGCTCATTCCGCCGGAGCCTGTCGCCTCCCGCTCTCCTTCTCCGCCGCTTCCGGACGTACAGTTGCCGCCGAGTGGCCGCTCTGTCGCCTCCGATGACGCCGCGGACATCAAGGAAACCTGTTCGCTTCTCGCTTCAGACAGTGAGGAATGGTCCGGTTCTTACGCCTCCTCGGCCCGAGAATCCTCTGGGACCCGCGCTGGAATCGAGGAGGAATTAGTGCGCCTCCTCTCACAGGCCGTCGAACGCCTCGGGCTCGATTGGTCCCCTCCCCCCGAGCAGACCATCAACCGTATGGACGGCAGCTACTTCCGCCAGCGCTCGACTCCCGTCACTAAACGGGCCGCGCCCTTCCTGCCTGAACTGCACGCGGAACTCACGAAGCCCTGGAATGCCCCGCTCTCTGCCAGAACTCGCTCTGACTCTTCCGCCCCGCTTCTCGTTGTGGACGGAGCCGCAGAAAAGGGCTATCTCTCCATTCCCCCTGTAGAGGACCTGGTCGCCGCACATTTATGCCCGCCTTCCACGAGATGGCGCTCATCAGCTGTGCTTCCCTCTAAAGCCTGCAGAGCGACTTCGAGCTTTCACGCCCGCGCTTACTCAGCCGCCGGCCAAGCAGCCTCTGCACTCCACTCCATGTCCGTCCTTCAGATTCTACAAGGCGATTTACTTCGTGAATGGGACGAGAGCGGAAAAAAATCCCCCCTCAGTCGCGGATTTAAGGAGCGCCACGGACATTGCCCTTCGCGCTACAAAATCTGCTGCTCAAGCCCTGGGGAAATGCATGGCCGCCATTTGTGTGTCTGAAAGACATTTGTGGCTCACACTCGCCGACATAGGAGATTCTGAGCGCGCCGCCTTTCTCAATGCCCCGCTCTCTCCATACGACCTCTTCGGATCTGCTGTCACGGGTATCGTTGACCGTTTCTCCGAAGTGCAGAAAGCCTCCCAGGCCATGAATCTCTTTCTGCCTCGTCGCGCTAGCTCCTCTGCAGGCCGCTCACGTGACCAGCCTCCTGCACGAGCCCCACCCCAGCGCCCAGCTCAGCACAGTCAGACTTCTCAGCGATGCCAGGGCGGCCGCCCTCGTTCTCGCTCTGACAGCCGCCACAGACCGCCGCCTCCCCGGGGGCCTCGGCCTAGGATCACGCTGAAACCTGATCACTCGAAGTCTGCCTAGCACAGCTGAGGAAAAGACGGCGCTCTCCCGCCGCGGCCGGACCGCCGTCAAAGTTTCGCCCTCTGTTAGTCCCCGCTCACGCGGCTACTACAGCAGTGTACCCCGCCGTTACCAAGCCGGTCCCCTTTCCCGCTTGCATGAGCACAAACGCCGTTTTCACGGCGACCCAGAGAAATCTCAAAAAGAGCATAAAAGCTTCCTGTGTAGAAAATGTGCCCACAACACTGTGTTCACTCAAACACAAAAGCATTTCAGTTCCTGTGTTTCTCACATAGCCCACTCTCATAAAGCGGTCCCAACCCGCTCGAGTTTCAGAGTGCATAAGTGCGCCCACGAGCCCGTGTGCGCGTCCCACCTCTGCTCACTCTGTTACACGGCCCTTAAACTCCTCTCTGAGTGTAAGTCCCGCTGTCATAAACACTATGAATGCGCCCGCGCAGCCCGCTATGTGCAGCCACGGGGACCATGTAGCCATTCACCCCTTAGCATTACGCTTCAAAGCGTGGGAAGCTATTCCGGGAATTTGGGTGCTAAACACAATAAGGCTAGGCTATCGCTTACAGTTTCACCGCCGCCCTCCACGTTTCCGAGCGCGGCTAGAAACTATTGTGAACCCAGAAGCAGTGACTCTGCTCCGTTCAGAGATAGCAAAACTATTGTGCAAAAGGGCTATAGAGAGAGTTCCTCTATCTATGAGCGAGTCGGGGTTTTACGGCCGTTATTTTCTGGTTCCAAAGAAAGACGGCGGCCTCAGACCAATCTTAGACCTCAGATTTCTGAACAAAGTTCTCATGAAGAGACCGTTCAAAATGCTCACTATCAGAAAACTCCTCGTGCATGTGCGCCAGGGGGACTGGTTCATTTCACTAG